TCTAAAAACTAGGATAAAGGCCATACCACAAAACCAGTGGGGGTGAACCAAAGCTCTATGATACTCATACTGCTTTAAATTTGAAGTTCTTATGGGCAGGGACAATATGTTCTGCACCTTGTGCAATACCAACCCTTGTACTGCCACTTTAATAATACAGACATCTCATTAGGCTATTTTTATACACTTTAACAATTGCTTTCTGAAATACTTACACTTAATTTAGCTATTTGATGTTATATGCCAAACTTGTTTTCTTAAGCACATGTCCAGTTTCTGAAAGATGTTGTCTTACAAAAGCCAATGGGACTATGAAATTTGTCCGTGTTTATTAACGCAAAATTTGTTAGAGACACGAATCAATATCTTACAGCAAATGTTTCTGAAAACCAAATACAGGGAGGAAAACTTCAGGCTGGCATAAAGGTTTATTTATATAGACGGGTAACCTTTTTCAACAACCCTCAGTCATACACAGCGTAAATTGGCAACTGCCACTATTTCCTAAGAGGACTACAGTACAACTAATTCAATTTAAGTTTATGGAAGCTCTAACACATACACATATAAATCAATTAATATTCTGGGAATGAGTTGATAAGCCTCCCCATTCCACACAAAACGCGTACTTTATCGCTTGCCAGTAACATTTCATGTCACTGTTTCCATTAACATATGGAAAAAATGTAAAACTAAATACAGAGCCAGACTGTTTTAATATTCTAATGAAATAACTGCCAAACGCACCTCAACTTACCAGCTAAAAAACACAAATACCCCAGTTCAGAAACAAAAATAGCGGTAGTAGTACCCTATATAACAACTACCTAAAATCCCCCCCCCAATAAGTACAATTTAAACCAGGCTCCCTACTACCAGTGAATGATCTCTCATATTTTAACCACAGCTGTAATGTTTGTATTCACTTCGTAAATGAGCCTCATGATCGGATTAGAGTATTTGAGAAAAAAATGGCACACGGCACTGGAAACCATCACTAACTATTCTATGGAACAATGCAATCTGTTAGGATACTGTGTCTTTCATTCCCAAGTGCTTTATGCATGATTTTACCTGCTTTTAAAAAAAAACAAAAACAAAAACAAAACACACTGCGGGGTCTGGAACATTGAAGAAGTTCACTGCACAGCAAGCGTTTAAGGGACAAGACAAATATTTTATTTAAATGAAAATGTACAAGAGTTATATGCCGCTTTATTTTAGAAGTGAAAAAATGGAAAATGATCAGTACTGAGTCAACAGCTCTACACAGCCATGTGTGCAGGCTGGGATCTGAACAGTCATATCAGGCAGAGCAAGGGAAGCATAACTTGAGGAGTGTTCCTTATGACATGATGTATGGAAAAATTGGAAGTCAGCAGGAGCCCTTTCTAACTCCAAGGGACAGAAGACAAAAAAATAACTGCTAGTCTCCATGCTTCCCTCATTCAGTCTAAACAGACAAGTCTCTTCTACTCTTAGAAGCCAGGGCAGAGAGGCTGCGATATCAGAGTCAAACACCTTGGAAAAGCCCATTCACTGTCTGACCCATAATGAGTGAGAAGTCTGGTCTTGCATGTGAAAAGACTATCTATGCCATCTGTTACATTTAATCTTTCCTTTTAAAATTTGCAGTAAGTGACAAGCCTCTAGATCTACTAAAAAAAGCTTCCGGGTACCCTCTCCTTAACAATGCTTTACCACTCAGCAGACCAGACTCTTAACTGCAGCTTTACTTTCAGTCTGCTTTTGAGAAAGCTACAAGCAACAGCAAAACTGACATAGGTGTCTTGAGGGAAAACAACTAAACCTTGAGGCTGGGTGAAAGGCAGAAGGTGAAATCCACCTCGAAGCAGCCAGGGTCAAATGCAGTATTGTGATACCCAGAGTAATGAGGCCTGGAAAGGAGGAGGAAAAAATGCTTTTACCTTCCAACCACTCTCTCAGGCCATGTCAACAGTAAGAGTGCTTTGTCAGTATAATTATACTTGCATTTGCATACTACCCAGTTTTCCTCAAGCAAAACAAACTATATTAGCTGACACCCCCTGCATCTATACTAGGGGCTTTTGCCTGCACAGCTATGCAGATCAGGGATCACATATCATCACATGCCTGACACACACAGCTACACCAGTAAAACTCTGTAGAATACACAGTCTTTCTAAGCCAGAAAATAACAGAAGAGGTCCCCATCCTTCCCCAAGCAAGATACAGGGACAAAATGCTAGTAAGAATCCCAGAGTCCTCCCCTTCCTAGAAGCTGGGTTAGGATAATACTTCTCAAAGCATTGCCCTAAAACATGATGGTGAGCCGCCCGCCATATATTGAGTCAGCATCTAGCTACCAAGTTTAGTTTTCTGACTAGCACATCAGATAAGGTTTTCATGCCCTGATTGTATTATTGCATTGTGACACTGCATCCATTTGTCATGACAGTGCAATGTCATCACACAGATGTGACTTCACAATGCACACAATACTGGGCATCAGACAGTGATTCTTTCCAGCTCTGTGGTACCTTTAGATAGGAAGCCAGGCTCTTCATCTGTTAAAGATTGAATACTGCTACTCTTAGATTTAGAATTTAGGTTACTGGTATGTCAAGTGCAATCAACCTCAAGCAACAACTCCTTTAGAAAAAAAAAATGATTTCTGCCTAGATCAAATTCTGTTTCTCTGCCCAAATAAACACTGTTTCTTTTTTCCTCCATTTATTGGCCTGCAGTGTAAACAGTTCTCACTAGGATAACTGAAAGCAATTTAATACACATGATATGCCCATCAATGGGGACTAAGTTAAGCCTCACAATAAAAGCCGATCAACTGGATTAGTTTACAAGCAGGTAACAGTTACAGATAAGCAAATGATACCATATATTACACACACTTCAATATAATAAGGTCTTTCTTTCTTTCTCTCTCACTACACCTCTAAAAGCATGTTTTAGAGTTTGGATCATAAAATCAAGAACACAAAGTGCCATGGTTCCCACCCTCAGCCTTGGAGGCCACTAAAAAAAGCCATCTACCCTCAGAGATAAAATACATTAGGATTTCAAACTTATACGCATCTGTGAAAAATACTTCACTCAGAGGCTTCCTTTCATCTTGTTTACAGCTGTACAGTGTAATCCCCGTAAGTATGAGCTCTACACTTTGAGACAATCTCACTGAAGTAATGCCATTCAGTTCACAGTTCTAATAAAAACTGATGCTTCACTATTACCATCAGTGAAACAGACTACCAGAAGAAAGCCAGAGAAGGTGACTAGTGTAAAGTATTCATGCGATCATCTACTGCTGTCTATATTATGTTCACCAGTAGCATCAACATAATGTAAGCTTTATAAATCAAACATGTACCACAGATACCCAAAGCATAAAATGCACAGCCTAGGTTCAGATTCTGAATTAACACAAAATTCTCCAGGGAATTAAAATATTTTGTTTGGACTCATCTTTATTTTTTTTAACATATAAAATGCTATTTCTACTTGCAGCTTCATCACCTGGACCACTATAAAAAACATGATAAACTCAAGTTCTCTCAGTACTGAATGTCTGGATTTGACTTATGTGAAGTTCATACTTAGTGCTGCATTACTGCTGTTTATGGTTTTTAATGAAATCTCAATTTTATAAAGGCTTTGACTGTCTCAAGACATTAGTACATTCTGATTTTAAGGACCATCACAATCAGAATGTATTTGAAGCAATCCCATTTTCAGAATGTGCTCTCACTAAGAATATTATGGACCATGAATATAGTGAGAACAGAAACAAGTTTTCCTTCCTTGTAAAATGGCAACATTGCTACATCCTCTCACAAAAGTTAGCACTGTATTTAGTGATCAATAAAGCAAATGGGAATCTTACTGGTGATGGAGCCGAACTCCCTCACCCCCTTCAGCAGAGGGAGCAGAATGGACATTTAAAGGACCATGCCTCATATTAACACCTCCTGATGGACCAGGATGTGTGTAATCTGGGGTGTGACTCCTCCTCAGCACTGTTTCAAAGGCAGCAAAAGTAAAGCGCTTTTGAGGAACAGAGAACTCGGACGCGGCTCTGAGCGGTGGGAGGATGGGACGCTCCAAGGCTTGGCCCTGGATTAGCTGGGGGCGCTCCCGAAAGCGGCCCCTTCACCCCAGAACGAAACGG